ATATGAATATTGATCGAATTCGATCGTTATCGAGTTCCCAGTTAACTTACTCTGCCACTTTTGCTTCGTATGTTCGTAGATCGTCAGCTGCTTGTGAGCCATTTATAAAGGATAGGAAGTAAAGGGCCGATAGACGAGAACGGACCAAGTCATTACCCTGGAATGAAGGCAACGACTTTATTCAAAAATCAGTTTTTATGAGGGAATTCAATTATTTCAGTTGCATAGGGACCTGTGCTCACCTTCATTTCTCTTAAAAAGAAATACTTTCCGATATTTGATTTATACATGAAAATAGACGTCTCCGGCCATTGCATACCAAACCAAGCCAGTGCCTGAATACCGATAACATAGATGTGGGTTACGGTAATCAATCGATATATCGATTCGTACGGAACTTACGACAGTCTTAAAGACTTGATCATTGAGTTCACAAGTATTTGCGCAGTAATCCATGTAGGTAATATTGCGTTCTCCCTCCGTTCGTATAACAATATTCTTTTTGATATTCTGGAAATCGATATTGATTACTAAGGGTGTTTTCGTCAACAAATCAACAACTATTGCTATAGGTAAGTTGCAAAAGCCCTATGTATATTCAGTAGGCTTTTCTTCATTCGGTTTCCAGCGAAACCTGCAAATAAGCCTTGTCCTTAACCTAGTTGGTAAACTGATTGATGCAGCGAGGTTTAAGTTAGCTGCCAATTATTTGAGATAAAATAAGAATATTTAGTGAGTCAAATATACTTACCCTATAAAACACTTTAAACTCATCAAATTCATTGGATTCTATCATGGAACCCTTTTCTTGGTCTCGAGGCTCGGCGAACAGTGCCATATACCATGGTTTACCCTGAAAGTACAGAGCGCCATGTGGGTACGAGGTTATTGATCGGTTGAACTGATAAAAAGCATTTATTGAATACTGCGAAGCAAATGAGAACTAAAATTGATTGATGGATAAAATCGGGGGACGACAGTTCTACTTAATGAAAGCAAAGTAAAACCATCCACCCTATGGTCCCTCTCTAATCTCACCCATCTAGTGAAGTCCTATTGGGGAGTCTAAACGATTTGCTGAAGTATTCTAGAAGGAAACTTACTCGATTTCCAAAAAAGTCGACTTGGGTCTGAAGCTCACGTATAGAGGGTGCATCGGGAGTTGTGTAGCCATTGTCGAAACTGAGTCGAACTTTTGGACTGCAAAGGATTTGGTAATTATCTAACCTTTGAAGAAAAAATAGTGCGTTAAAAGGCATGTCAAAGGTTTTGACAATGGGTAGGAAAAATTGAAGGGGGCCATTTTCGGGCGACCCTTTACTATGTGCTGATAGCATTTTACCGTAACTTGGGCGACTCCATGCATCATTTTATTGAATCTATATATAAACTTCGAATTTCACTTCCACATTTTCCCTTTTTTTATTATCTAAATATTCTCGGACACTAAATTGAACGTAGCATAAGAGCTTTCCAAAAGTGCTAGACATAAGTACGAATAAACTATCTGTCGAAGGGCATGTAAACTTACGGTAGTATCAAGAGGAATACGATAGATAATACAAATACGACGAGGCTAGCGATAAAAAATGTAAGCGGCCGAGAGCCGATGATGGAACCCAGCCGACCGAACGTCTTCGAGAAGAGCATTTCTTAATAGACAAAAAATTAGACAGGTAAGCTTCAGAAAAGTAGCTTCAGCAGAAAACATGACGGGTAGAAGGACGAAATAATGAAGAGCTCGGCTTCGATTTCCCTGTCTAGTTCAACGTAATGCAAATGTTTTCTAGTGAAAACCAACTCAGAATTCGAAGCATTTTTGGGCCGTTTTTCGGCTGCAACGACAGCCACTCGTTACTAGGCAGTTTTCCCGTCCTGAATCATGAGACACATATCCTTTAAATGCCTAAGGTCATTAGAGAAAATATGCGCAGACTATACAAAACCTGAGACCTAACAAAACGGAGGCTCCATGGTGACATCGAAAAAATGTAACAAATGGTGTCAATATACTAACAGAATTTTCCGACGATTTTTGCCAAAAGAAAATTTTGTCCTTTGAAAGCCGTTGGTGCAATTTGGAACAGGTAGCTAAAA